TGTTGTCAACAGGATGTCAAATGGAGAACACAGTTCGTGATTTGTGTTTGGTATGATTGTCAGCGTTATTTTGATTCTTCCTGATTTTAACTAGTAAAGAATAACTAATATGCATGGCATCTTATTGCACTCATATATGTAGTTCTTCATACATAGTTTATCATCTGGAAATGTTCATGGTCTGTCACCTGAGAAATGTTCATGGTCTGTCATCTGGGAAATGTTCATGGTCTGTCATCTGGGAAATGTTCATTGTCTATCATCTGGGAAATGTTTATTGTCTATCATCTGGGAAATGTTCATTGTCTGTCACCTGAGAAATGTTCATGGTCTGTCATCTGGGAAATGTTTATTGTCTATCATCTGGGAAATGTTCATTGTCTATCATCTGGGAAATGTTCATTGTCTATCATCTGGGAAATGTTTATTGTCTATCATCTGGGAAATGTTTATTGTCTATCATCTGGGAAATGTTCATTGTCTGTCATCTGGGAAATGTTCATGGTCTGTCATCTGGGAAATGTTCATGGTCTGTCATCTGGGAAATGTTCATTGTCTATCATCTGGGAAATGTTTATTGTCTATCATCTGGGAAATGTTCATTGTCTGTCACCTGAGAAATGTTCATGGTCTGTCATCTGGGAAATGTTTATTGTCTATCATCTGGGAAATGTTCATTGTCTATCATCTGGGAAATATTCATTGTCTATCATCTGGGAAATGTTTATTGTCTATCATCTGGGAAATGTTTATTGTCTATCATCTGGGAAATGTTCATGGTCTATCATCTGGGAAATGTTTATTGTCTATCATCTGGGAAATGTTCATGGTCTATCATCTGGGAAATGTTCATCATCTGTCATCTGGGAAATGTTCTTTGTCTATCATCTGGGAAATGTTTATTGTCTATCATCTGGGAAATGTTCATGGTCTATCATCTGGGAAAAGTTCATCATCTGTCATCTGGGAAAAGTTCATTGTCTATCATCTGGGAAATGTTCATTGTCTGTCACCTGAGAAAAGTTCATGGTCTATCATCTGGGAAATGTTCATGGTCTGTCATCTGGGAAATATTCATTGTCTATCATCTGGGAAATGTTCATTGTCTGTCACCTGGGAAATGTTCATTTTTTTATCATCTCAGAAAATTCACTTTTCATCATCTTGTAATTGTTTATTGGAATGTTTCAGGAAGGTTCACTGGTATCGTAGGAATGGTGCTAGATAGTTACCATAGGCTTACTAACAGTTGTTTATTGTCAAAGAACCCAAAAGTCCTTCTGTCACACCAAGGCCACATGTCTCTGACATTGTCACTTATCCATCACCTGTAACTTACAGTCATATCAATAAAACATTTTATAAATAGAGTTGTTGACATGCATGATCACTGTATCACATATCCTTTAAATGTAACGTAAAAAGATTAATCAATTGTGTAATGTAATGGCAATAAAACATACATCTACAATTTTCAAAGATATATGATATCATAAATCATCATGGGTTTTATACTCTGTGATAAAGGTGTGTGTCTGCTGGTTTAGAAAACATAAGTTGAGCTTATGTTCTTATGATATATGTATTGTAGTTGAAGCAGTCTAATCCTACCATATCCAGTGATATATGTTCTGTTGCAAGCAAGACGTATCATCCATGGCTTGGATGTCCATAATGAGAGTACATTTCACAGGCAAAATCTTGAAATGCGCTAAAAAATCAGATTAGCCGGAAAATAGTTGTTAGGAAAATGTCATCGAATTGTTGGCAGCATGAACTCCATCAGGTGGAGGCCCAACTTGCTTATTGATTGATCATCTACATACTCCAGTGTAATTGTGTGTGTGAACCACAGAGGACATACAGGCCTGTGAGTGAGGCAGTACAGTATAACACTGCTTTGAACATCAAATCAGTTACCGTTTTTGACGTAATAAGCGCCCAGGGCGCTCTCAAAATTTGAAATAGGGTTTGGCTTTGTTGGGTTTGATGTTTAATGCTGCACTCAGCAATATTCCAGCTATATGATGGCAGTCTGTAAATAATCGAGTCTGGACCAGACAATCCAGTGATTGACATCATGAGCATCAATCCACACAATTGGGATCAATGACATGCATCAACCAAGTCAGCGAGTCTGACCAACCGATCCCATTAGTCGCCTTTTACGACAAGCATAGTCACCTTTTACGGCATGCATGAGTTGCTGAAGACCTATTCTACCACGGATGTTGTTAGAATATTATTTTTGTGAAGAAAAAAAACAGTTGAAAGTTGAAAGATCGTAAATTTAGTGGTTTTATGCTGACAGCCTGAAATGTTCATATACGACAGATATAATTTTCCAGAATTTAATTGCCCAAAAATTCTGAAAACAACCACTGAAAATAAAAAAAAATTCATAGGGTTGTTCTCTTTTTACAGCACTCATGTATGTTTTGAAATCTAAATATTGGATATTCTGGAATATATTGAGGGAAATAGCACATTTGTGATCACGTGTGAGTATGGTTTTTAACATTGCAATGATCATTCTGAAACATCACCAATCGTTTGGCATGTTTGAGAAAATACGTAAACATGAACGCTGAAGTGAACTTTCTGCCACATTGTTACAAAGCCATGTTTCGTGTATGATGGTTATGATACGCCAATTACATCGCATATATTTCCTATCAGCTGCATTACGTTCATCCATGAATTCCTCATACATTTTCGCATCAAATGACTAATTGAAATCAAGCAAAATACATCAGGTGTTAAAAAAACCTGCTCTGCTTGGAAAACTACTTTTTTTAATTGTAAACAAAGCAACATTTAGATTTATACATTTCCTCCTTTTCTGAGAGATCCATTTGTCTATTCGTTACATAAAATGTTTTGAGAATGTGCAGTGGAAGAGGATCACAGCAAGAATTAGGAATGAAAAAAGATACATTATAATGATTTGGTAAATTCCACAGAAATTATCAAAGTTTCCATTTTGTGACATGCCACGAATGATATGAATGATGCAAAATCATGCACAGTGATGACAGTATTTATGCGCATTTTGGACTAAGTTCTCTTGGTTACAATGGAATACATAAACAAATATAACAATATACAGATTCTCAGATTATTTCTGATTACTTACATGTATGTAGCAGATGATCCCTGATGAATGAACGAAATGACAACTTTGAAAATCCTGCATGCTACTGATGAAGAATATGCCATTTTTTGGTACATATTTTGTATTTTCTTTGAGGTGAAGGTTGGGTGAATAAACATACACATAGTATTTCTGTCCTGCTACTTACAGTTGCAATCATGATGCAGATTTTTTACATATTTTTATCGCAATGAATTACACAATGGATATTTATATCATACATAGATCTGTCAACAAAATTCATGACCTTTTGATAATCTCCTGTTTGCTTGAACATTAATTTAACATTTACAAATTTAGTGATGTGTGCCATATTTCTTACCTTTAGACAAAGGTCATAACCTGATATATAATTGTAAATGTTAAATAGACATATTTCCTCTGAAGTCTTAAATATTTAATGTTGTAATTTCATTTTCAAACAGATTAATAAGTAGCCATTTCATGTTATCTAATTACTAAAACTGAATAGATGACTTTAACAAAATTGATATTTTTATTATATATGTATGCACACATTTTTAGAAGGAATTTAAAACATACTTTGGTCATTTGATAAAAGAACATTGATGCACCAGGTGTGACATACGATTGTTTCAACCTTCAAAATCAATTGTTTCAACCTTTTTTTAATGTTGTAATCACAGGATACTATACTGTTTACTTTATTTCTATACGAATTGTAAAAACATAAATAAGAAAAGTGACATGTTGGTCATTATCCTGATAATTCCATACGAAAGGAGCTTTTTGCAGATCTTTTATTGTATAATTCTCAGGCAAAATAACCACATAATAATAAACAAATACAGTCATAATAAAAGGTAATAAATATATCTGCTTGTTTTCAAATATTCTTGCAATTTACATAAACTGATGACAAACAGGCATGTCTTATCCACTTAAGATACTTGATCAACCTATGTTTTTGTTAATCTATTCAAGACATTATTTACATTGGGAGAACAGTCATTTTATATTGTGTCTAAAAAGCATCAAATTATCTTTTCCAAATCAAGATTGTTCATACCATGAATGAAACTAGGTGAGAAATATATTAATCCATGTATCATGTCATCTTTTTAAGAAGTCGTCAAACACATAAAACAAGCCATGACGTAAAAACAAAATGTAAAAAACTTTCTGTAGTTCATTACATTCAATGGTAAGACTATTTCTCCATTAATAAGTGTGTAAAATAAGTCAAATTACACTTAAACAATCAGGTGAACGCAGGAATCTAAGGACTAATTTAAATCTTAGATAGGGACATCTACTTCCCTGTTACCTTCTTGTTTATGTAGTATGATTTCATATTAGTAGTTCAATAGGCATTTCCCAGGAGAGAGCCTTTTCCATTATCACAGAGAAACTTTGACAATGAAGAAAGTATCAGGTTGTTGGGTTCCAAATCTTCTGACATTTGAAAACAAACACACCAGGCACGTGTCTCATTATTATCCAGCTCTGTTTGAAACTGATCCAGTAAGGTTCTTGCAAAGAATTGTGACTTCCAAATAACAATCAAAACAGTGCAAGCATCACCACCACCAAAGAAGGTAAAAACTGCCCCATCAGCTGGAAAGTTTCTGTCTGCAGGGTGTCATCATGGTGAACTTTCTTTCAAAAGGCCATGCAATATATGGAGCATATTGTATGCTGCATTTTGTAGGCAATTACAGGATGAAATTAAGACTAAGAGATGTGGAAAGCGGAGAAAAGGTGTGCTCTTCAAACAGGACAATGTGCAAATGCACAAATCAGTCATTGCCATTGCTACAATGCATGAGTGTGGCTTTGAACTCCTTCAGCACTTACCTTATTGTTGTGATCTGGCTGTTCCCAAGAATGAAGACAGCAGAAGCTGGAACCCAATTTAACTCCAATGACATCATAGCAGCTGTGGAGAACCTTTTGGACAGCAAAGTGAAGAACTTCTATGAAACTGAGATAAAATCATTCGAACATCATTGACAAAAGTGTATCAACGTAGAAGGGGATTACAGACAAAAATTAGCATCATATGAGCGTCCTGAGGTCAAGTCTGGCTATGTGAGGCTCAGAACATATCAGTCACCACTCACAGACACAGACACAGACACAGACACACACACACACACACACACACACACACACACACACACACACACACACACACACACACACACACTTTTGATGAATATGTATTGAATATGTTCCTTGTGGTATTAACATGGAGAAGGGCTAAGTGTTGTTTATAGGTTCTGAGTGTTTCTTATTGTTTATGTAAACAACCTATTCCTTAATGTACATATAGACAGAATTTCTTTAAGTACATAAAAACTTTGAAAGTTACTTGTTGAAAAATATCTATTTCTTGAAGGAGTAAGTCGATATCTGTGTCTAAGCACTGTATGAACCTAGGATTTGGTTGAGTTGACATACTCGTTAAGAATCAATGGTCACACAAAGATAGAAAGTGCAGTTATGTGTTATTGGTGTGTGATCAAGTACACCCCATGTAGACTAGGTGTAGCATAGCCTTACAGGTGTACTGCAACTGCATTCTTAAACAGTCAACTTTCAGACCACATGATGGCAAAGAAGTCATCAAGTTCTGTAGAACCCTCTAGGAACATCTCATTGTGGATGCTTGTTAAAATGGAACCTCTCTATTAATATTAACCTGAGTCAAAACACAAATATGATTTACCTTAAGATACTGTAATGTTTCAGTCCAGAACATCACTAATTAGACATTTGAACATGTTCTGAAATGAGAAATGAATCTTTGTATTTTGCAACTCTTGATGTAGAACTTGAACTAATATATGGACTTGCTCAATATTAGAACAAAAACTAATTTATCAGTCTCTTTCAATTATGGTATTTAAACAATTAGGCATTGGTTTTAAAAGAGTTGGTTTCAGTTTAAGCAAGGAAAAAAGAATTGTTTTAGGTAGATTGACAGTATGGAAATCTTGACAACCTTCTTGTACATTGCAACAGTCCCTGGTGTTATTACGTCACATGTCATTTTCGTACAGCAATAACAAAATGTTGCACAGCAACAGACATTTCTTTCACTGTTACATCCAACAAAATAGCACATGTGTCACATCATTTGGCAGGTTTGTCTTGCTGGACATTAAATGTAATTTTTTCACAAATAAAACTTGATTAAATTCATAGAAATGCCTAAAAGGTATATATTTATTCCCTCAGTTTTTCAAATATACATGCTTCTGAAGCACTTCTAAAAGGATTTCTATCATATACTATATACATATATGTGCTTTGTAGATTATTTTCTGCACAAGAATATAGATGGTTAATTAATATTTCAGAGGCGTTTTTTTCAATACCTGAACGGTATGACATCAGGGATAAGATTTGGCAATGTATCTTTGACATGAGTTAGAAGTGGAAATAAGGACATTGAACAGACCGGGTGGTTGGTATCATAGTATTGTATCAAATATTAACGTTTCAATTTACCTTCTCCTTTACAAGACCTCTTTCTGCCTTAAGATGTGCTTTATTTTCTCAATAATCATTGAAAGATCACTTAAAAAGCTATTCATGTGATCAAGTTGTGTTGAATATTTGTGCAAGCTAACAAGAGAGATATAGGTTCATATACAATGACTACTAATGTTTGTATTGCCTATCAAATGAATGATTTGACGTTATCAGTGAAATCGTTTTGAAGATGTTCAATTATTCAATATTCAACTTTGGGATCGAATGGTTGATTCAGTTAGATTCATGTTATAGGTTTTGAGAAACATTTGAATATATGAATTACTAATAAGCATTAATTTTGAAAAAACACACCAGGCCTTGAGGCCTTTAAAGAGTTACTTTAGTATAAACGAGTCAAATTCAATATTGTTATAATCTGTTATAATTCGCTGGTTAATAAATGTGCATGGTTATTTTGCCTTTAAAAACTTAATCATTCTTCAACTTGTGTCAACATCTTGGAAACTTTGAAAAAAATCAATTTTGTCTTCTAAAAAGTGACACTAATCAAACAAAAAATTAAACATTAGAAATAGTTGTAGGTAACATATCCACCCATATGATACATGTGACAGTGTTCAGAATATAATGAGAATGGATATTTTGTTTTTATAATACATAAACATGCATTAATTTACAATTCATGATTTCTGTTTTAATACTGACAGAAAAATATTATTATGCTTATTTGTTGGACTTTTTGATATTCAACTTTTAGCTTCATAAATAACAGCATCAAAATAGAACTATATTCTGGAATATTAGAAGTAGAACCTGGTTGTTTTAGTAATGTATATTTTGTTGATGAAACTGATACCCATATATAGAACTAATCTGTAACATATGGTTTTGGTTTTCAAAATATGAAAAAATGGCTTTGTGACGTAAACTATGCAATGTATGTATATGCCAGTTCCGCTTGTGTTATAGTGTTTCCATTAGGTATTCATGGACAATAACCTGCATTCTGTTTACTCGAAACTCAAAGATGAAGAGTCTGGTTGACTTTGTTGAATTTCTGTGTGGATTAACTAACACAAATGTAATCCTAGAATTAATGAAATAGCACTGCTTATTACTGAATATCATGAATTTAGTAAAGCCCATCATTTTTGGCTCTACAAATATCATTCCAAAACGATTGAGGTAATTAGGTAATGAAAGTTTGAAAGTAAATTTCAGGTTGGTTCATGGCTTGTTGATTCAAATTGTGTGCTTCAACTATATTTCAAACTTTTAGTTATATTTTTCGAATGCAGTTTTGAGCCTCCTAGCTCCTCAGAGGCGTGAAAACTAAGATCACGTGTTTAGAACTTTGGGTCAAAAGATGACAAAAAATGAGTACTTGATTGAAAAAACACACATCTTCTGTTGCCATATTTCACAAAAGCGTGGCAAAACGAAGATAAAATTGCAATCTTTAAATTAAAAAATTGACAGAGAGAATGATTTAATGGTGATGGTTATTTCACATTTTCATGTAATACAACACTTAACTGATCAACAGTCTAACTGAAGGAAATATAACCTTGTTTCTTAGCAACAGAAATATAATGTGGAACAGTACCTAATGTCCTGAAATTCAAGATGACAGCAGTGATTTGAGAGGACTTTAAAGCTCTCCTATCAACTTAGAGCCCTTCAATGCATTTCCAAAATGAAATAATACTAAATACTATTTTCCCTTGGGTATAATGGTAATATTTCACAAGAGCTTTAAGCTTATCACATAATGCATTGTGCATTGAAATAATATCTCAATAAATATCTTTCCTTCTTGAGAAATAAGATATATACCCAAGGTGTTAAGAGGCTATGTCATAGGTTCAAGCACAAATGACAGCATCAATATTGGGAAGGATATGTCTGAGGCTTCTCATTTAAGGCATTAAATACTTTGATAGCCATAAGGCATTTCGTCACAAGTACTGAGCATGTATAACTGGCAGGGTCAGATGTGTATGAGACATGAAATCCTTGTCTTAGCCTCATGAACAAAACACATATTACTCCCAGTATGAATGTATAGGAGATATGTGATGTAGTTCACTTTATGAGGTTAAGTGAACATTTTATAGTGCTCTAATTTTTAATGTGGGCATCTAAAAGGATATTTATTATAAAATCCTTAGACTGTTCAAATTTGACTTATATGTTATGTATAATGCCTTGGTATTATATGTTATGTATAATTCCTAGATAGCTGTAGATTATACCAAAGGTAGACATTTACAAGATATTGAGTTCTTACATATTTTTAGACCATTGTTAGTTAACATGTCAAGATATTGAAAATCTTGAGCAGTTTATTTCAGGACATATGGTCAAGGTCTACTTTATCACAGCATTCAATGTTTCAAGACACTGAGTCCAGCTTTTAAAGCCAAATTTCATGTTAGTTATCCAATATAGTGAATATATATATATATTGTATAGCTGAAACCCTGGTAAGCTGTATAAGTAAGAGATTTCAGCCAAATGGTTTATTGGAACTGCAAATAATATCCTTTTAAAAAATGTTCTAAAAACCTTCAAACAAGCACAAATATGTCATCATCCTTCTATTGTACTAACATACAAAGTCCTTTTAAACAAAACAGTCGAACAAAACAGGGACTGACTGAGTAAAATGTGTTTGAGTGTTAAAGGGGATATCTGCAACAGGATGAGAGGCAGTTTTCTAATTCTTGAAAAGGTTGTTTGTTTGAACGTTATTGGACATTGAATTTAATATAGCAGGTGTGTGTGAACCCTTCTGTACACATACCAATTGGGAAATATAGATTTCATATTAAGCCTTTGTTGCCAGGACCAATATTAGAGCAAAATGTTCATTTACTGTCATTTTGTGCTGGCACTGTAAATCAAACAGCAATTGGATTTCTATTCTGAAATATTATATAAATCTTTGTTGCCACAATTGGAATGAGTCAACAGAAACATACATAAAAAATATTATTTTTTCACAGTTTAATTTCTCTTTTTCACAAAAGAGATACCTTTTTTATATTTAAATACAATATATAGTATATATGATGTATAGGTATAGTCTAAATTACACAGTTTGTGTGTTTGGATCAACATACAGTTTCATACAACACACTCACCATATTGAGAATGGAAGTGCATGTCTAGTGCACACATGGTTTTAAATTTCTTTGTTTGGATGTAATGAGGCTGAATGGACCTGAATCTATTAGAAATGAGACAAAGAAACAAACATCAGTATATTTTGTAGTACTCAGTTTGCTTATTGATCTGCATTACAGGACACACATGTTGTTTTAGTGTTATCTATTCAACCCAGAATTGATGTAACATATGTTTGTTAATAGGAACATATTTTTAGAATTACAAAAATATGTACATTGCTGAGGTTAATATTAGGTATGAAGTAAAGTTTAAACAAGGACATTCTAATTAATTACTATTATTATTATTATTATTATTACACTGTTATCATTCTCAACTCCCTGGGGTGATTACAACCCAAGCTTCCTTGGGTTTTTACATCTACCTTACACATCCTTTACCCATTCCCTGCTGGTTGAACAGAGGCACATTTGAATGAAGTTACTTGCCCAGGGTGACACCACACTTTTTGACTCTTGTGTTTTCAGGTGTATGTATATATTCGTGTTCCACCATCTGGTCATCTACCATCGGACGAGAGGGTTGTTTAGAGTGAAATGTAGGGGTAGTGACAGCACTGCAAAGACTGTTGGTCCCAAGGATGAATAACAACCCGGTCACCAGTGGGATACAATCTCAGCACCTGGTGCTTGCTAGCCTGGCACTTTTGACTGCTTGCCCACTCCACAGTACAAACTGTTTCAGTTTTTCCCCATGTCACTGTATGAGCCATGAAACGTCAGACATGTAGATATCCCTTGACATTCCTTTAACTTCTGTGTTTAAGGATGGACATCACTCAGTTCATTTTGCTGGTAGTAGTATAATCTTGGTTGTCAAAACATCAAATGTCTTTTTGAATCTTAAATTTTTTTTAAATATTTAATTTACAATAATTATTTTTAAGAAAAAAAGCTTTGTTGGTTTTTTATAAGCAACAATTATGATGAGGATTAGATGATCAAAATGGCTTCTCATTGTCTGGAACTTTGAAGGATACCATCATTGAAGGCATGAAGAATTTTCCACTGTAACATGGCTCATTGTGTGTCATCCCACCCAACAACATTTATTACTGACCACCCTTTCTGATGTGTCTGGTCAAGGTTATATT